AAGATAAAACATTTTGAAAGGAAGTAGACACCTATAAAAAGAACCATTTTTCATTATTACTTCAATAGTGAACCTTACACAGTAACTTCAATTCAAACCGTTTCCACAGTCAATAATGGGCATATGGCAATCAATAGCAAATGCATATGCAATTCCAAACGGTGCAGAAGATCGTCAACGTATTAATATTCAACAAATGCAAAATGTTCTTCTAATCTGGTTAGACAGCAACATTAATGAAACAAATGATGATTGCCAAAATACAATCACAAAATTACAATGTGTTGTTAACGACATCAATACATATACAAATAGTGATGAATGCCTTGAATTTATCCAGACAATCACCGACAAGAAGATATGTATGATCATATCTGGATCACTTGGACAACATATTGTTCCTCGTGTGCACAATATGTCTCAAGTTGATTCAATTTTTATTTTTTGTGGCAATGAAAAATATCATGAACAATGGACCAAAGATTGGCCCAAAATAAAGGGTGTCTTCACAGATATCACACCAATCTGTGAAGCTCTCAAATCGGCTGCTCATCAATGTGAGCAGAATGCCATTCCCATGAGTTTTGTGGGAACAAATAAAAAGCTGGATCAATTAGATCCTTCTTTTATGTACACCCAAATCATCAAAGAAATATTACTGACCATCAAATTCGAACTAAGACATATGCAAGATTATATTAATTACTGTTGCGATGTTTTTTCAGATAACAAAAAACAAATAGAAAATATTAAACGATTAGAAGATCAATATCATAATAAAACACCCATTTATTGGTACACCTGTGACATGTTCCTGTATCCGATGCTCAATCGTGCATTACGATTGATGGATGGTGATATCATTACAAATATGGGCTTCTTCATCGGTGATTTGCATCGACAGATTGAACAACTACACCAGAAACAATATGCTGGTACAACTGCTGCAGACACCTTCACCGTTTACCGTGGTCAAGGTTTATCTACAAGAGATTTTGAACAAATGATGAAAACCAAAGGTGGTCTTATTTCCTTCAATAGTTTCTTATCTACGAGTAAAGATCGTGAAGTTTCCTATGCTTTTGCTGAAAGCAATCACACCAATCCGGATTTATTTGGAATACTTTTCGTTATGAAAGTAGATCCATCTCAATCAACATCATCATTTGCTTCAATTGCTGGTATCAGCAAATTCCAAGGAGAAGAGGAAGTCTTATTTTCAATGCATAGTGTTTTTCGTATACAGGATATTAAACAGATGGGTGGAAATAATCGTTTATATGAAGTTGATTTGGTACTGACTGCTGACAACGATCCAGAGTTAAGCAGACTTACTGATTATATTCGACAAAACAGTTTTCCAAACTCTCAAGGATGGTACAGATTGGGATCAGTGCTATATAAAATGGGTCAATTTGACAAAGCTGAAGATATTTATCAAGTTTTACTTGATCAAGCCAAAGACGATAAATACAGGGCACCTATTTTTCAACAACTTGGTACGATAAAGAAGGATCAAGGAAAATATCAAGAGGCACTTACATTCTATAAACAATCACTTGCTATCTATCAAAAAACTCTTCCTCCAAATCATCTTAGTTTGGCTATTTCCTACAATAACATTGGTATAGTGCATAAAAAGATGGGTAATTATTCGAAAACACTTTCGTTTTATGAAAAAGCCCTTGATATTCGTCAACAATCGCTTCCTCCATATCATCCTGATTTAGCTATGTCCTACAACAACATTGGTAATGTGCATATAAATATGGGTAATTATCCGAAAGCACTTTCATCTCATGACAAAGCCCTTGAAATTCGACAACAGTCACTTCCTCCGAATCATCCTGATTTGGCTGCTTCCTACAACAACATTGGTGCAGCGTATGAAAACATGGGTAGTTACTCAAAGGCCCGTACATTTTTTGAACATGCTATACAAATTATAGAACAATCATTACCTTCAAATCACCCGAGCCTTCAGATATATAGAAATAACTTCGAACGTGTAAAAAACAAATAATAAATTGCTTTTCTATGAATTTTGTTTTTTGAAAGAGAAAAGAACTGTTTTAAGTGTGCGCGCGTACAAAAACAAACTCTGATCTTGTTGAGACACAAATGAGTGGTAACACCCATCGGTAAAGCAAACAATACATATCAATAGATATATATTGCAGAAAAGACCTTCACGATATATAGTTATTGTATCTGAACAAGGTAAATTTTCTGTGTTAGGTAAGAAAAAGAACGGTCGCTCAACAGGCTGTCTAAAGTTACGAAGAGAGAGAAAAAGAACTGTATTTATTCAGTACTACGAATTATTCTTTCTGTTCAAATAAAAAGAATAATTTATATGTAGTGAA